CACAGGCAACCCAAGCTCATTACATAATATTTATATGTGACTTCAACGGTCAAAATTTGATTTCTTTAAGTTTGTGTTTTTAAGAATAAAAATGACTCACCTTGATAACTTGTTGTGTCTTTTATCATTTGGCGGAGTTTGAAGCCGTTAGGAAGCGATTTTACCTGGTTTTCGAATTTTCTTTCCCCCACCTATAAAAATTTGGTTGCCTGTGGTAATCACAACAATGTGATCTTAACTCTGCTTCGGCAGACTCAAATTTCCCTTCGGGGAACCAGTAATCACAGCAATGTGATCTTAACTCTGCTTCGGCAGACTCAAACTTCCCTTCGGGGAACTAGTAATCACAACAATGTGACTGAAAATGTGCTTCGGCACACTATTAATGGCGTGATAAATACCGTTGACTCTGAAACTCAGTGGGTCTGTAAAATGTCTGTCGGGATACCTGTGCTGGGTTATTATGCGTTACAAATTGGGCAAGGAAACCACATTTTTAGCTATACAATTGTAGCCTTTAACAATGAGCCCATTTCAAAACCAAACAATGCCTGTATGACATTAATGCAATGAAAACTGTGCCTAGGTCTGAATACAATAATGATTATAGAGCCTTGAAAGGCTTTTCCTCAAACAAGGAAATCAATTAACCTTTATAGCTGAAGACTCACAAAAAATAATTGATCAGTTTCTTCTGTAATCAGCTAAGCAAGTTCAATGAAAATAAAACTAATATTCGAGACAACAATTCCAGAAGTCCACCCTAACTTTATTGTTTTTGAGCATTGTTGTTATCTATTCAGCCTGAGTCACATGCAGTCAATGACTGCGTATTTTTTAAATAAAGCCCTTGTGTATATAAAGCATGGATCAAACGTCGAACCAAATTTTTGCTTCATCAAATTCAAGTTTCTCCTGAGTAACGCGCTAAAGTCAGTGTTTTGATCTCATTTGCATCAGGAGCGACTCATATGTCGTACTTCTCTTGCAATAAATTGCAAATTTGAAAACTTTCCAGTTCTCTCCGTATATACAAGATACAAGATACAAGATATTTTATTATTGCCTCTGTGTAAATGGTATTTACATTAGAGTTTATATGCAATAACATATTTTATGATTGTATATATATATATTATTAATGAAATGTTCCAGTAACCTTTTTTCTTATTTCAAAGCATTCATAAATGTGTTTTGTGATTATTTTTTGTAACAATTTATTTGAAATTGGATTTATCATATAGTGAAACTTTTCGTCTTCAGTAAGAAACTCGATATTTTTCTTTGTAATAATATTTATCTTTTCAAATATTTCTTTTCTCTTTGTGGAGAAAAAGGAACATCTGAGAAGAAAATGTTTCTCATCTTCACTTTCATTTTTGCAGAGAGGACATATTCTCTCTTCTGGTTTGACATATGGGCGTGAATACCTCTCTCTTTCAATTTCTAAAGAATGATTACTAATTCTAAGTTTAGTAAGTGCTATTCTATGTTTGATATTGCTGACTTCTTTGAGATAACTTTCCTGTTGGTAGGTTTTTTTAAAAGTTCTATAAGTTCTAAGTTTGTTTCTTTGAGTGTCTTTTCTACCCATATCATCATGAATTTCCCCTAACCATGTTTGTATTTCAATGTCCTCTAATCTTTTTTTTATTTGTTTTGCTAGTATTTTCCCTTTCGTTTTGTCTGTAACCTAATTTGTAGCTGCAATACATGAAGCGCCCCCCCCCCCCGAATAGTTCGTTATTCAGTGCATTATTGGATTTTTCATTTTATTTTTCATTTTCAAACTTCAGTTGATTAATGCAAAATTTAATTCAAATCTCGAACTCTGATCATGACAGTAAACAAAACAGCATTTCCAGCTTTTTGAGACTGTCATTCCTTTCTCACGAGAAGGAACAGATCCAACCAAATTAACAGACAGCATATTGCAATACATCGACTTGTGGAAATTACAAAAGACCAGCATGTTTACAAGCGAAATGCTAAGAAGGCATTATGAAAATTTGATCAATAATCCAGCCAAATTTCGAAGTTTGAATTCAAATTTGGTTTCAATAATGTAGTGTTGGAGCAAGGATGTGGAGCTCATTTGAGTCGTATACTACAAGTCACGTGACAATCGCACCGTGTAAACCGGCCTATATTCCTTTTGTTACATTGGAAATAACATGATCAGTTCTCAAATATTACTATATGGTGACACTGGTGAAAAATTCACTGCGCATGTCTACAGCTTTCCCGCTGAAATCTGCCTAATTTCCTTTGTAAAGCGATTTTTGTGAAAGTTTTTTACAATTTATAAGCTCGTTCTCCGATATATAAGATTCATATTTCCATCAATCATTGTTCATGATAGGTCCTTTTAGTATGAAAATGAGGTTTTTCGTAGTGTTTTCTTTGTTGTCGCTGTAAATCGCCAAGCGCTCTGTTTACAGATTTGTTGGTAAAGATCAACAGAAACTGACTGACTGACTGACTGACTGACTGACTGACTGACTGACTGACTGACGGACGGACGGACGGACGGACTGACTGACTGACTGACTGATTTACTGATGGATGGATTGATTGATTGATTGATGGATTGATTGATTGATTGATGGATTGATTGATTGATTGATGGATTGATTGATTGATTGATTGATTGATTGATTGATTGATTGATTGATTGATTGGAGATAATTTTTAAAACGGAATGCAATACAAGCAGAAGGAAAGAAGACGAAGATATTTTTTTGTCTCTATCCCAGGTAAATAGACCTAATCGGCTAACGGCGTTGCTATGTACGTTGCCACCCAATTCAAATCCTGTGGGAAAAAAACTTTTGTTTATAAGAATTCAACTGTGAAATGAAAATACAACGAACAATGAAACTTACTCCCGGGTGGTTTGAATTGGGTTGAAGCCGATTAGGTCTATT